TTGAGTTGATTTCGACTCACGGTGACTTTATAGGACAGAGCAGAACTGCCCCCATAGAATTTCCAAGGCTGTAAATCTCTAAGGAAGCAGACTACAGCATCTCTGTCCCATGGAGCAGCTGGTGGGTTCAAACCACCAACCTTTTGATTGGCAGCTGAGCGCCTAACTACTGTGCCACCTGACAAACCAAACCACACTCACTGATGTCAAGTTGATTCCAACTCATAGCAACCCCTCCTTGAGTTTCCAAGGTGGTATCACTATGGAAGTAGATTGCCTAGTCTTCCTTCTGAGGAGTGGCTGGTGGGTTTGTACCGCCAGCCTTCTGGTTAGCAGTCAGGTGCTTAGGCACTAGGCTACCAGAGCTCCCCACTGCACCACCAAGGATCTTCTAATAAATTAATACTAGTAAGTATGCCTTAGGGAGCTCTGGTAGCGTAGTGCCTAAGGCACTTGACTGCTAACCAGAAGGCTGGCGGTTCAAACCCACCAGTCACTCCTCGGAAGGAAGACTAGGCAATCTACTTCCGTAGTGATACTGCCTTAGCAACCTAAAGAAGGGTGGCTATGAGTTGGGTCCGACTCGACAGCACACAGCAACAACAACAACAGTAACAACAACAGTAAGTATGCCTTATAGATATCTCAACCTAACATTATCTGGTACGCCTTATTAGTATCACTTCTGCCTTTGCATATCTCAGCCTATAATGGTCAATTTCACAATGAAGGAAGACACAACTCTCTTATAAACTTGTTCTGCCCTTGAGAATGTGTTCAGAATGTTTATGGTACTACCTGTATTAGACTCTGGAACATCCTTTTTCTAGCACTCCTGAGAAATTCTTATTCATTTCTGGGTAAAGCGTGGTCCCTGGAGTCTGACTGCTTGTGTCTGAATCAGTCTGCCACTTCCTGTCAGAGTTCTTTAGCCAGTTCCTTACTCTTCTGAGCCCCCTTGGGGCTTCCACAAGTCCTGCCCCTCACGCCTGTACGGTGCTTCCTGGTCGTGTGTATCTCACGTGTCAGGATCGACCTAGTTCCTGAAGTGAGGGGTACAAAGGCCCCTCCTTGAAAGCTCTCCTGTTCCTGCCCGAGTGGCACAACGGTTAAGTGCTTGGCTGCTAACCAAAAGGCTGGCAGTTTGAGCCCACAGAGTGGCTCCATGGGAGAAAGACCTTGCAATCTGCTCCCATAAAGATACTAAAAACCCCTGTGGGGCATTTCTGCTCTGTCACGTGGGGTTGCTGATCAAATTTGACTCCCTGGCATCTAACAACAGTTCCAGTGGCTTAGATTATAACAGAATTAGATGCTCAGTACTGTGGAGGTGGGCCCAGTGGTCTGTGGACACATTGCTCTGGGTCAAAACTGACTAACCAAGCTTAACTTTTTTTTTTTTTAATTGTGATATCGGTGAAGATTTACAGAGCAAATTTACTTTCCATACAGCAGTTCACATACACTTTGTCTCATGACATTGACCACAGTTTACCACAATGCAACAGCTCCCCTCTGACTTCCTCCCCACAG